GTTATCATTGACTTGTGAGCTGTTGTCTGTACTGCCATACATAATATCTAAATGAAATAAAACTAAGAAATAACTGAAATACTATGATAATCAATGCGAGTGACAAATGTAAAGAGAATCCTATGTGTGGGAGACTAAAGACAATATATATGAGTTTGAAGTAACTGATTCCATGTCTGCTGTTAGTTTAGAGTAGTAGTCGTCAACGTGCACAAAGCTGATTTACACAGGTAAAATATATCACATCATTAGAAATATGTCATATTAGTAGTACCATTGTACTTTTTTAGAGAATTCGCTAAAACCAAACATTATCTAAACACTACTCTAACAACATGAAAGAGTAGAGATCTCAGCTTTGAACAAAATGGACGTCTTTTTTCTCTGTGTATATAGTATTTCCCAGCTAGCAAAATAAAATATAAAAATTCAAATGCATTCAGTGATATACCTGTTGAATATCAGAAATTGTCTGTTGCCATAGTGGTACCTCAGTGGTATCATTTGTTTAGTCAACTTCTTTAACAACATAATTTCCAGAAAAATGAAAGTTAAGAATTGTTAGAGCCATTCACAAAAAAACGGCTCTACTTCCGTTTGCGATAACTACCGCCCTATATCGCTCCTCTCTAATGTTACGTCAGTGATTCTCCACCAGTCATTGAAAAATCCGTCAGTGGCAGGTGTATGGGCAGCACTGATGGAAATGCTTGCCTTCCTAACTCTTGGATGGTATCCTTGGTCAGTTGCTCTAAGGAAAAACGAACACAATGTTTTCCCCTTCCTTGCTTTCGTATGCGCGGCGGAGTTGGAATCGGATCGGTATCGGCTCGGCCGTGGCCCGATCCGACGTAGCTTTCGAACCGGCCGATCCGATTGCGTTTATTTCAAACGATTCGAGCTCTACTGCACACTAAAGATCTCTTATGAGCAGGCTCACCTATTGTGCTCATCGTCGCTCGCATCGAGGAGACTTTCCGGGCGCTTCCTTCCTTTATCAAAATAGGAGTGTTACGACTATATAACATAGATACAAAACCTGCTGCTGTGGCTGTTGTTGTTGTCATTGTCGGTGCTGTTGTTGCTGGTGTTGTTACCATTCTTGGTGCTGTTGTTGTTGTCATTGTTGGTGCTGTTGTTGCTGGTGTTGTTACCATTCTTGGTGCTGTTGTTGTTGTTATTGTTGTTGCTGTTGTTGGTGCTGTTGTTGTTGCCATTGTTGGTGCTGTTGTTGTTGTTACTGTTGTTGCTGTTGCTGTTATTGTTATTTTGTCTGATGGCGTCACAATGAATGATACGGCAATACCATTACCAGCTGCTGCCGACCATTGAAAGGTCCTACTTATATAGGGAGATAGATTAGCAGTCAATAGCTGATATTCCATTCGATTGAAAACACGATATGGACTTCCAGCACCTCCCCCAAACCCTACTGCTAGAAACTGATTAGCTGTAACGTTAATTTGATACATTGGGATTTGAAAGGTTTGTGGTATGCCAGTTTGATTTGTTACACTTTGTGGTGGTATTATATATTGCTGATTAACAGTGAACATATTTGAGCTTGCTGTCGCTGAAATAATGTATAAATAAAGTGATGGTGGAGTGTTAGGTGTCGGTGCCGTATAAAAGTTGATTGAAACGGTTTTGATGTAACCAGCATATGTTATTTTATCCAACAAATTAAATGATGTGCAACCAACGTCGTTATCATTGACTTGTGAGCTGTTGTCTGTACTGCCATACATAATATCTAAATGAAATAAAACTAAGAAATAACTGAAATACTATGATAATCAATGCGAGTGACAAATGTAAAGAGAATCCTATGTGCGGGAGACTAAAGACAATATATATATATGAGTTTGAAGTAACTGATTCCATGTCTGCAGTGTGTATTTGACTACTGTGAATTGAGTGAGATTGCTTGTTAGAGTGTTGATTATTTTTCTATAAATTTTTGCTTTCAACGAAATGAGTTACTATTGTTGCTGTGCCTTGTTAATTCATGTTTCACCGGTACTTTCATGTTAAAAACCTGCACCACAAAGATAGGTAGCAGGAAATTTAGAAAAGTATGAGAATTCAGCGAAAATTCGCATAATCTATCTGTTCCCGCAGCTGAAAGTTTAGAGCAGCAGTCGTCAACGTGCACAAAGCTGATCTGCACAAGTAAAATGTATGGTACCGGTGGTGGGATTGTAAAATTATGGACCATGCGAATATGAACGTGACGAATGGAAGCTCTCCTTTTATAACCAGAAATGCAGGAATTTTCCGTTCAAGGAAAAATGTTCTACGAAAGACAAAATCAGCTTTCATAGCGATAGAAAGAAAAGCGTGAGTTTTCTAACCTGTAGCCTCACAGAAAACATTTGAAATGGATTCAGTATCCTACGGCCGGTCAAGGGGTTGCTGGGGCTAAATTCTGGTGATTTATTTTGAATTGGAAGTATATTCTCTCATGGTACGGCTGATGAGTCGCAGGTGATCGTTAGCCAGCGGGAAAAAGCTATTTTGGAGCTTCATGGTATCATACAGGAGCACATAAACATCAGCGAGGATCATGTGAGGATGATTTTACCAACATAAAGCGAGCATATTTATCTGTTTATTATTAGTCTTAGTTTTTACAAGCTGAACTAACTTAAATTATTTAAATTTCGCTCTTTTTTTTCTTAATAAAAGAATTAAAATCTTGTCCTTTCTCCAACCTAAATATTCAGATGCTCTTTTTTCGTTACAAAACCTTTATCACTTTGGGCACTTCTGAATAGGTGTACTTTCTATGTAGTATGTCTCAAGTTTGTACGACATATAACCGTAAGTATGTTGGTTTATATCTTTATAGATTCTAATAATAAAGCCAGCCGGGAACCATTTTTGGCAATGTACAAAAATAGACTGCATTGAAGTGGGAAAGTGTAGTCGACGGTAGTGGAAAACATGAAGTAATATAAACATAAGTTGAAACGTCAAGGAAAACGGAAAACCAACACAGACTAGACAAAGAGATGTGGCGTGGACTAATTTAAATTTTAAAATTAACTTTCTACTAGCTGATCATCAAAAATCTATTAGTTTGCGTAACATAAAATACAACTTATTTTAAAAATAATACCAAGTGAATCCTGATATATGTTCAAGCAATAGTGTGTCGATTGTAATGGAAATGAAAGAGCATTACAAATACTACATATGCACAGGAAGAAAACGCTCCTCTCTAGTGTTAGCAAAATCTTTGAAATGCTTTTACTCTGTTTCTCAACTCTATTAAATTTTTCTCTGACGAACAGTTTGCTTTTCGTCCAAATAGTTCAACTGCAGATGCCTTGCATCATATGACTATTCAACTGGGTAGCATGTTAGAAAAAAGAAATTATAGGCACTGCTTTCAACTTTGCCAAAGCCCTTAATCGCGTTCTCCGCCAGTCATTGAGAAAACTTTCAGTGGCAGGTGTATGGGGAGCGCTGATCGAATGGCTGACATTCGTATCTCTTCGAGATACTTACCTTCTTTCCTTTCGTCGGCACACTATAGAAATCTTATCAGCAGGCTCACTCTCACCTATCGTGCTCATCGTCGCTCGCATCGAGGAGATCTTATCGGTGCTTTCTTCCTTTATTCAAAATAGAAGTCTTAAGTCTATATAACGTAGATACAAAACCTGCTCTTGTGGCTGTTGTTGTTGTTATTATGGCTGATGGCGTCACAATGAACGATACGGCAATACCATCACCAGCTGCTGCCAACCATTGGGAGCTCTGATTTCTAAGGGAAGAAAGGTCAGTGGCGCGTAGGTAATATTCCATTCGATTGAAAACACGATATGGACTTCCAGCACCTCCCCCAAACCCCACTGCTAGAAACTGATTAGCTGTAACGTTAATTTGATACATTGGGATTTGAAAGGTTTGTGGTATGCCAGTTTGATTTGTTACACTTTGTGGTGGTATTATATATTGCTGATTAACAGTGAACATATTTGAGCTTGCTGTCGCTGAAATAATGTATAAATAAAGTGATGGTGGAGTGTTAGGTGTCGGTGCCGTATAAAAGTTGATTGAAACAGTTTTGATGTAACCAGCATATGTTATTTTATCCAACAAATTAAATGATGTGCAACCAACGTCGCTATCATCGACTTGTGAGCTGTCGTCTGTACTGCCATACATAATATCTAAATGAAATAAAACTAAGAAATAACTGAAATACTATGATAATCAATGCGAGTGACAAATGTAAAGAGAATCCTATGTGCGGGAGACTAAAGACAATATATATATATGAGTTTGAAGTAACTGATTCCATGTCTGCAGTGTGTATTTGACTACTGTCAATTGAGTGAGATTGCTTGTTAGAGTACTGATTACTTTTCTCAAAAGTTCTCAGGTCAGTTATTG